ACAAACAAACACACACACATACAGACGCACATACAAACCCACACAAACATGCAAATAAACATCCAAGCAAACAAACATAGCATACAAACACATACAAACCCCACACAGACACACTTACAAACACACACACACACAAACGTACACTCACACACAAACATACAAACACACAGGCCAAGATAGAGGAGTTGCAAGTAGAAAAGTCTAGATTAGAGGAGGAGCAGAAAGATCTAGAAGCCAAGAAGAAAGAATTGGAAATTCCAGAAGAGGAGGCTAAAAATAGATTCAAGTTGGCATGGGAAGGTTTGTTTGTCTTTTTTACCCGTGTACGTGTTTGTTTGTTTGGATGTATGTAGGTGTGTTTGTGTGAGTGTTTTTGTTCGTGTGCGTGTGTGTGTGTATGTGTGTGTGCGTGAGTTTGTGTGTGTGTGTCTGAGAACGAAATAATTGGAAAATGAGTGAATGAATGAATGAACGAATGGCTGAAGAAACGAAAGAATGAATAATTACAACTATAATTTTATATTTTTATTGTACTTATTATTTGTTATATTTTTATATTTATATTATTAATTATTATGGCTCATGATAAATTTAGAAGGCAAAGCGCAGAGGAGATCCGAGAGAAAGATGGAAGATGCTATGAAGACATTCCAGGCTATTGACGCTGATTCTGATGGAAAGTTAGTTGACTGATTGGTTGGTTGGTTGATTGGTTGGTTGATTGGTTGATTGGTTTATTGATTGATGAGTTAGTTGGTTGGTTGGCTGGTTGGTTGATTTGGAAAGTTAGTTGACTGATTGGTTGGTTGGTTGATTGGTTTATTGATTGATGAGTTAGTTGGTTGGTTGGCTTGTCGGTTGATTTGGAAAGTTAGTTGACTGATTGATTGGTTGGTTGATTGGTTGATTGGTTTATTGATTGATGAGTTGGTTGGTTGGTTGGTTGGTCGGTTGATTTGGAAAGTTAGTTGACTGATTGGTTGATTGGTAGGTTTTGTAGGATGGTTGATTGATCGATTGATGGGTTGGTTGGCTGATTGGTTGGATGGTTGGTTAAGTGATTGATTGATGGGTTGGTTGGTTGGTTGATTGGTTGGATGATTGATTGGTTGTTGGTTGATTGATTGTTTTTGTTTTAGAGTTTCAATTGAAGAGATGAGAGGTAGGAAGGAGTTTGACATTGACTTGAATGGCGAAGTGTCTCATGAAGAAGCTAAGGTTTGGTTGACTGATTGATCGATCGATCGATTGATTGATTGATTGATTGATTGATCGATCGATCGATTGATTGATTGTTGGCTGTCTGATTTACAACGAACGAGTGAATGAATGAACGAATGAACGAATGAATAAATGCATGAACATTCAATCTGGAATATGTCGACGTGGAAGACTATGATTGGATGGAGTTTGCCGCATTTTACTGACTGAATGATTGAACGAACGAACGAATGAATGAACGAACGAATGAACGAACGAACGAATGAACTTTAATCAGGAATACATGGAAGATCACGATTATATGGAGTTTGCTGGCTTCTATGAAAAAATTTGGAACAACATCGAACAGCTCTTTAAGAGTAAACTGCACGAGAAGCATCCTGATAACGATGTGGGTTGATTGATTGGTTGATTGATTGGTTGGTTGATTGATTGATTGATTGATTGATTGAATAAATGATTGAATGAATGAACGAATCAATCATCATTCAGGAGAGTTCTGCAGCATCACAGCCATCACAGTCCTCATCACCTCCAGAAGACATGTTCGGCGACGATAACAACAACAACAACAACGATGGTGATGATGACGAGGACGATGATGAGGAGGAAGATGATATTGACGCAGATAGGGATGGCAGTGATGACGACACGAAAGATCAGAGAAAGGTTTTGTTGTTATTTTTATTATTGTTATTATTATTATTATTATAGTTATTATTATTATTGTTGTTGTTATTATCATCATTATTATTATTGTTTTTTTTTTGGGATTTCCCAGGTGGAAAAACCGACAGTGGAAAAACCGGCCAGCAGCGGTTTCGACGAGGACAACGAGGAGATGCCACCGTATGATGAGGAAACTCAAAAGATGATAGACGGTTATTATTATTATTATCATTATTATCATTATTATTTTTCACTGAATGACGAGCTACGTAGAATACGCTTTTAGAATTTTTTTTTTAATTAAATCATTTTGATTATCGTCGATTCTTTTATCCAAACTTTATTTCATTTCATTTTATCTATCTATCTTAATGTAATTTTTTTTTTTTTTGTGGGGAAAATAAAAGGTGCTAACATTATTATTATTATTTTTATTATTATCATTATTGTCATTATTGTTGTTATTATTATTATTATCAGCTGCCGAGCATGCGAGGTCAGAGGTCAGCCAGCTGGAGACGAAGCTGAGAGACTTGGAAAAGGAAATTGAGTATGATGATGATGACGATGACGATGACGATGATGATGATGATGATGATGAGAAAGAAGAGGAGGACTATTAATGTGATGAAGATGATGGTGGTCGCGGTGGTGATGACGACGATAAAAATGACTATGATGTATATGTTGATGATGGTGATGATGACGATCGTCTGCAATTCCACCACCTTCTTCACCATCATCATCATAACCATCATCATCACCACCACCACCATCGTCGTCATATCAACAATCACAATCAACACCACATCCACCACCACCAGACATGCGCAGAAGATTCTGGATTCAGACTACGGGCCCAGGAATGAGTTCTACCCCTTAGCGGGCCAGTGTTTCGAACTGACGGACAGGGAGTACGTCTACAAATTGTGCCCCTTTGACCGCACCACCCAGCGAAATAAACATGGCGGCTCCGAGACAACTTTAGGGTTGGTTGGTTGGTTGGTTAGGGGGTGTTTTTTGGGGAGCTTCAAAAAGGGATTTCCATGTTATAGTGAATATTCTTACTAAACACACAAAGGCATACATACATACATACATACATACATACATACATACATACATACATACATACATACATACACACACACACACACACACACACACACACACACACACACACACACACACATACATGCAAACATACAAACTTCCATATAGGTACTGGTCGAGATGGGATGACAGTGTTGATAACGTCAGCGCTGCCAGGTATTCCACCATGTTTTTTGACCGCGGTCAGAATTGTTGGAATGGCCCTGATAGGTCTACTAAGGTGATGATGATGATGATCTTAATGATGATGATGATGATGGCGATGATGATGATGATGGCGATGATGATAATGATGATCTAGATGTTGAAATAACTCATTCAACCATTTGATCTATCAATCATTCATTTATTTATTCAATCAAATTAATTGAACATTCAATTAATCAAATCAATCAATCAACCATTTATTCAAGCAAACAATCAGCCAATCAACCGTCTATTCTCCCAACCAACCTGTTAAACATCCATCCGACCAATCAACCAACCAACCAATCAACAAACTAACCAACCGACCATCCAAACCAATCAACCAGCCAACCAACAAAACAACCAAACTCCCAGGTCCTAATTGAATGCGGTGTGACTAATGACCTCACGTCGGCCAGCGAGCCGAACCGCTGCGAATATCAGTTCACTTTTAACACGCCAGCCGCCTGCAACGAGATACCCGCCAGAAATGAACAGAATGGCGGGACAACGCCAAGGGTCGAGTTGTGATTAGGACGATAATTGTTATGATTTGTTTTCCAAGATGGGTCATTTTTTGTTGTTGTTATTATTATTATTGTTATTACTATTATCTTATCATCTTATCATTTCTATCAATGTTATAGTTATTAATGTTATTGTTGTTGTTATTATTATTGTTGTTGTTGTGATTATTTTTCTGTCAAATTGTATGTATTGTTTAAAGAAGAAAAATATATAAAAATATCAAGCTTGTGCTCATTTTCTTTCCTGAATGAGTGAATGGATGAATGGATTGATGAATGGAAGGATTGATGGATGGATAGATTGATGGAAAGAATGAATGAGAAAGACAGATTTAAATGAATGAATGAATGTATGAAATGAGTAAAACGAATGAATGAAGGTATGATGAATTCACGAATTATAGGACTAAATTTGAGTAGATGAATGAATGAATGAGTGAATGATGTTACAAATAGATGAATAAATAGACGAGAGTGAATGAACGAACTAGTAAATGAATGAATAAAAACTACACACACTCGTTCATAACAATTTTTCAGTTGTTGGCACCCCACCAAAGTTTGAAACTCCAGTCAAACTTGACCTCTCGTCGTCACATAGTCGTTATGTAACTATAACATCATTATCGTTATTTTTTTGTTAAAACAATTAACTTTTCTTTACTGTAATTTTAATACATGATAATGATAATAATAATAACACCGTCATCTTACGCCAAACAATGCCAGACAATACAAACCGAAACCAAACGAGACATTAAATCATCATAAGCATATAGATAACGAAAAAACTCGAAGTTAGCTTGGTGCTAAAACAAAAATTGTCAAGTATTAAAATTCTTACAGCACCTAAAAATGACAGAATGTTTTGTTTAATGTTAACACTGTTAGCAACAACAACAACAAGGACAACAACAATGATGACGTCATTTTAAACAACGACAACATCATCATCAACATGACAACCACAATGGAGATATGTCATCAAGAGTAACAACAACAACAACGGTGATGATGACGTCATTTTTAACAACAACATCATCAACTGAAACAACGACAACAACAACAACAACAGCAGCAGAATTAGAGACAACTCAGCCGCTACAACAACATCAGAGTTCAGTCACATTTATTCAAATTAACAGGGGACCCAACCTGCAAATTTCAAAATTATATATCGCGATATCTCTTGAGTCGTTGATATCATCGCTATCTATGGTACAATCTTTCTTTCTCTCTCTCTGTTTAGCTCTCTCTTTCTCTCTCTTTCTTTTTCATTCTTTATTTCTCTACAACATATACACACACACGCATACACATACTTTTCAAAATATTATAATATTATATAATATCAAATATGTATACATTCCTATTGTGTTCATAAATACATACATATACATGCATACAATAATATACACACACGCAGGTACACACACACACGCAAACACACACACACAGGAACACACACACACGCAAACACAGGAACATACATATATAGTAATATTAGTAATGAAAATAATAGTTTCAGTAGTTATACGGAATTTTACTGCATGGGCGTGTGTGTAAATAAGCGTCATATGGTTGTAATAATTACAAGAATAGCAGTAATAATAATAAAAATTATGGTAATAATAATAAAAATAATAATATTTTTTATTATAGTTGTTTTATTTTAATTTATTATTGCGTCATGTTGACTTTGTTGGTTTCTCCAATCGATTTCTGTTAATGAATATTATTGTTGTCATTATTATTATTATTATTATTATTATAACGTGGATGATGAGTTGAAAAGCTCCTGAGACACAAAGACCTTTTAACTTTGGAGTCGGAAGCGATTTAATGAAACTACTACTACTACTACTACTGCTACTGCTACTACTACTACTGCTTCTACTACTACTACTACTACTAATAATAATAATAATAAATTATAATGATAATAATTTCTTGATCTTGTACAGAAATGTGAGCCCCCCAGGCAATCCTGCAGAATGTGGTTCGTTCATCCGTGGACGGAACCAAACGTAGAGTGCAAATAAATTAATAATAATAATAATAATGATAAATAATAATAATGATAATAATAATTATAATAACACTAAGTCATAATTAATAGTAGCAGTAATAAACTCAGTAGCAATAATAAAAGATATATTACTATTAATATTATTATTATTTAGAAGAGAAGTGATGATTATAATGATGACTTTTCAATTGAAAATAATGATAATAATAATAATAATAATAATGTTTGTAACAATTCTATTTTTTTTGGGGGGGGGGCGGAAAGAAAAATTTTATTTGTGAAAATTGTTGTTGATATTTTCAATTCAATTCAACAATGAGTTTATTCAGCAGAAAAAGTATCGGTGGTATTAATAGTAACAGTAATAGTAGCAGTAGTAGTAGTAACAACAGCAGCTGCAGTAGTAGTAGTAGTAGTAGTAGTAGTAGTAGTAGTAGTAGTAGTAGTAGCATAGATAATGTTAATATTTATTATTTCTTATTCTTTTTCTTATTAATATCGAAGTGAAAACATTTAAAAATAGCTTTGTTATTTTCTCAAAGTTAAAAAAGTCAATGAATGTTTGTTTGTTTGAATGTGTGTATGTATGTGTGCATGTATATATGCATGTGTGTATGCATGCGTGTGTGTATGTATGTGTGTATGTATGTGTGTGGGGTGTGTGTGTGTGAATGTATGCATGTATTTCTAATTTTTCAATAAAATTCATTTACATGTATTGATATTTCTTTATTTCTCTAATCGTAGGCATGTTGTTTCTTTGTTGTTACAATCGGAACATCGATAACACAGTTAGCAGTAGTAGTAGTAGTAGTAGTAGTAGTAGTAGTAGTAGTAGTAGTGTAGTAGTAGCAGTAGTAGTACTAGTAGTAGCAGTAGCAGCGATAGCAGCTGCCACAGTAATTGTAGTAGTAGCAGTTGTGGCAGTTGCAGTATCGATAATAGAGGTAATTTTTGTATACATTGTTTTGTTATTCCCATAGAAGAGGTTAAAAAAGAGAAAGATGAATTTTTAAAATTGCTACCGTCATGTCTCTCATCCACACTTTCACAAACACACGTACACACACGCACATACACACACACATATAAACATACACACACATATAAACATACACACACACACACACACATAAACACACACATACAAACACACACATACAAGGTTTGTTTCTACGTTTTCACTGTTGACCAGTTTCACCGTCGCTGCAAGCGTTAACAACATCCCATATAGATGAAAAAAAAATCTAATTGTACGAAGATTTTTTCAAGATTAAAATATTTTTCTGAGAAATTGTGAGAAAATAAAACCCCGGACAACACCACGAACAACAACAAAGTTTAAAAACATCTACAAGGTCATAAGAGCATCAGTTGAGGAATCGATTAACATCATCTTCTGATCGGTCGATAATCGTTCATACCACAATCTTCTTACTCCTGCCTCTCTCTCTCCCTCCTTCTATGTTTTCTTCTTTTCTTTTCTCTCTCTTTTTTTCTCACCTTTTCTCTCTCTCTCTCTCTCTCTTTCTTACTTCTTCATTCTCATCCTACCGGGTTTCTCTATATCTCTCTTTATTTGTTTTTTTCTAAATTTCTACATCTTTCTTTCTTTCACGATTTATTTCTTCTTTGCCTTTTTTCTCTCTCTCTCTCTTTCTTTCTCTCTCTTTCTCTTTCTCTTTCGCTCTCTATCTATCTTTTGCAATCTTTTTCATTTCTCTCCCCCCCCTCTCCCTCTCTTTCTCTCTCTCTCGTTGATATTTATTTTAAAAGAAAATTGAAATGTTATTAATAAAAACATAAGTCGTTGAGCCAGGTGTCGATTTTGTTAATTGTATGTGTGTGTGTGTGTGAATGTATGTGTGTATGTGCAAATATATACTTGCAAAGATGTATAAAAAACCCTTAGGTATCCCTTAACACGTAGTCATCTTAACTCTTGGCATTGCTAGCCAGTTGTGTTGGGCGAATATCGAACTAATTTGGTCGCAATAGTAAAGAAAGAACCTTCCTCTTCTAACGATGATGTCATCAAAGATGATGTGGACTTTGTTGCTGGTCTTTGCGCTGACCGTCATGGTTTCCAGCAGGGGTTAGGGTTTTTTTTTAAATTTAAAATTTTTATTTATTTGACTTATTTTCATGTTTATTTTTTAAATTTATTTGTTTATTATTTTTATGATTTTAAAGAGATTTTTTGTATATTGCGTAGCGTTTTTTAAAAATGTCTTTTACTAGTACTTTCAATTAGTTTTTTTTTACAATCAAACCCATACAATGTTTTCGCGATTGCTGCATAACAAATCATTACACTCGGTCGGTCGGTCGGTCGGTTGGTTAGTTAGTTTAGTCAGGTTTGGTTGATTAGTCGTTTGAGTGGCTGGTTAATCGGTTAGTTGATTGATGAGTTTGGCTGATTGATTAGTTATTTCACTGGTTGGTTCTATTCTGTTACCAAAAATCTTTTCATTTCTATTACAAACCTTTACATTTCCATTACAAACCTTTACATTTCCATTACAAGCCTTTACATTTCTTTTACAAACTTTTACATTTTTTTTTACGAACTTTTACATTTCCATTACAAACCTTTACATTTCCATTACAAACCTTTACATTTTTGTTTACAAAGCTTTACATTTCATTACAAACCTTTACATTTCCATTACAAACTTTTACATTTCCATTACAAACCTTTACAATTTGTTTACGAAGCTTTACATTTCCATTACAAACCTTTACATTTCCATTACAAACTTTTACATTTCCATTACAAACCTTTACAATTTGTTTACGAAGCTTTACATTTTTGTTTACAAAGCTTAACATTTTTGTTTACGAAGCTTTACATTTTTGTTTACAAAGCTTTACATTTTTGTTTACATTTTGACAGCCGATGCATGTGCCTCAACGGCAAACTGCCCAAGCTCGTGTGCCAAAAGTGGTCGTCAAACTGATGTAGATGGTTGTGAAACTTGTTTCTGCAAGGATTACTGCAAAGAGGTGTGTTCCTTAGTATCTATGTATCTATGTGTGTAACTTTGTGTGTGTGTGTGTGTGTGTGTGTGTAGATGTGTTTATATATATGTGTGTGTGTGTATGCGCATGCATGTCTGAATAGTATATAACAATAATAATGATAATGATGATGAGGATAAAGATGAAGTAATGGTGATAATAATAACAACAACAACAACGACAACAACAACAACAACAATAATAATAATAATAATGATGATGATGATGATAATGATGATGAAGTAATGGTGATAATAATAATAACAACAACAACAATAATAATAATAACAATAATAATAATGATGATGATGATGATTCCAGAAATGCAAGGAAAACCAGTCTTGTAGGATGTGGTCCATTAATCCGGGCACTGAGCCAAACGTGGAGTGCGATTAAGATAAAGTTTAATAATAAAATTAATAATAATAATAATAACAGTAATGAAAATAATAAAAATAACAATAACAAATAATAATATTATAAATAATAATAGTAGTAGTAAGGTAGAATTTGAACATTTATAAAATTGTTACTTCATATCTTTTTTCTTCAAATTTTGAAATTCGGCTTGGGTGATTATTTTATATTTCTAATAATTTTGGTGTCAAATACAAACTTTGCATAATAATTCAAAAGTTCGTTCGTTTGTTATTGCGTTCAAGGGTTCATGCAAACGTTCGCCTGTTCATTTGTTCGTTCGTTCGTTTTTTTTTATAGTTGTTTCCATTTTATTCTATCGATCGTTCCTTCGTTCGTTCGTAAAATTGTTTGCATATTTGTTCCTCAAATCGTTTGTTTGTTTGCTTGAAAGAAAGAGATAAAAAGAGAGAGAGAAAGAGGGAGAGAAAGATAAGATAACCAAAGAAAAAAAGAGAGATAAAAAAGAGAGTCAATGAACGAAAGAAAGAAATTAGAAAGAGAGAGAAAGTGGAAGAGAGGGATGCATCTACGGCCCGCGAGGTCTTGTTTGCCAGAGGAAAGGTCGCCAGCCAGACATTATGACCGGAAAAAAGGAGCCAAAAATCTTAAAAAATTTCCCCATGTCGAAAAAATTTGCTATTAAAGTACATATGCGATCCTTCAAAAGTAAAATAGTTCTCAGTGCGGCCCTCACAGCAAAAAGTTTGTCCACCCCTTGTATACGTAAAGCTATCGTTGAGCCTCAGTAAGACATGTTTGTTGCTGGTTTGCAATGAACATTGAACTTTAGAAGATCTGCCCCATCTGATTGGATTGGAGTTTGTTGGCAGCTGCTGAATGATAGCATGCAAATTCTCCATTTACCTCTGGCAAAGTGGCTATAGTTTTGGACCAGCGAATAATTTGAGACGAGCTGATATGTTTTTCCACTGCCTTCATTTCTTACCATACATACATTGGCAACTTAGAGATGTGAGGTGGGCGAATTTTACAGTGTCTGCCTCGTTAACCATGTCCACCTTGCACATTATCGGGTGTTAACAATTAAATTGAAAATTTCGTTTCGACGCTCCAGATATGTTTTCAGTATAATGGTTGAGCTGCGGTTTGATGAAACGTGTTTGTCTGTTCGTTCGTTCGTTCGTTTGTTTGCATGTTTGTTCGTTTGCCTGTTTGTTGTTTGTTTGTTTGCGTGATTGGCGTTTCATACACGTCATAACGCGTTGGTTGATTTAGCACATTATTATTAATTAAATTTTAAAAAGAAACTAATTTCACTATTAAACCAGTATTTATTCCAAGTCGAAATATCGCTGGCGAGGCTAAAAAAATATCATTATATCAATTAAAATAATAATATTAATAATAATAAACACGACAATAGCAATAATAACAATAATAATAATAATAATAATATCAATAATAATATCAATAATAATAATAATACTTATCGATTGTGTTGATGATGAAGAAAGCTAAAAACAATGTTATAAAAATTGAAATGTTCAATACTACTACTACTACCGTACTACTACCGTACTGCTGCTGCTACTACTACTGCTACTACTACAGCTGTTACTACTGCTACTACTGCTGCTGCTACTACTGCTGCTACTGCTGCTACTATACAACTCTTACCGGTAAAACTAATTAGTGATATTATTATTATAATTGTGTTTAAAAAAACGGATAATTAGAAAATAAAAGCAGGTCAATCGTTAATAATTTACCTAGTTTGTTTATTATATATACATACATATATACAGAGAGAGAGAGAGAGAGAGAGAAAGAAAAAGAGAGAAAGAGAAACTGATAGATAGATAGATAAAAAGATAGATAGATGTAAAAAGAAAGAGACAAAGAGGTAGGTAGAACCGTTGAAAGAAAGTCTATAAAATACCCATTTTTGCTTCAGATTTTGAGTCAGTTTTGCACTATAAAATTAACTTTTATAGAAAATAGATTGACATATTGAACTCGTTTTCAAAAGTAACTATTACGAAACCGTTTCGAAATTATTCCAAAATTATTTCGAAATTATTTCGGTAATAATTTACGTTTTAGTTATTTTAAAGTCAATTGTGCGTGAAAATGTTAGCGTCGTTGTCGTCGTCTGTTACTGCTTGTGGCTATTGCGGTGTCCACAAACGGTTAGTATGTACGTGTGTGTGTGTTTGTATGTTTGTGTTTATGGGTGTATGTACGTGTGGTCCGTGATTCAATGTCTGAATGTAATACGTACATACGTACATACATACATACATACATACATACATACATACATACATACATACATACATACATACATACACACATACATACATACATACATACGTACATACGTACATACATACATACCTACATACATACATCTCTTCTTGGATTCTTAGATATGAGTTCGGCATTTGACTGTGTTGACCATTGCATTCTTCTGAAACGTCTTAATCATAGATTTGGAATAACTGGCTCTGTCGAACAATGGTTTCGGTCGTACTTAACAAACATAACTCAACAGGTAATCTACAAGAATAAGACCTCTTCGGTTCAAACGATTAGATTTGGTGTTCCACAGGGCTCGGTTCTCGGACCGATCTTGTTTATTCTTTACACCTCTGAAATTATTGAGGCGATCGGATTACATGGTTTGGAGTGCCATGCATTTGCAGATGATATTCAGCTACTCGCCACAGAATCCTATAGCAACTTTCATCTTGCAGTTGATCGTTTTGTTAAATGTTTGGTCGAGATCGAGAAATGGATGGCAAATAATCGTCTTAAGCTCAATCAAAGTAAGACGCAAATTCTTCTGGTTGGAACTTGGCAACAGCTGTCTAGAATTAATTCAGTTATCATTGAGGGCTCAAATATAAACTTCATTCCCAAAGCTACAAACTTGGGTGTCATTTTTGATTCTAGACTGGCAATGACTGAACATATCAAGTTTTTATCTGGTACTGCAACCCTACAACTGCGAAAATTAAAAATAATCCGCAAAAGCTTAACCAAAGATGTTATTCAAAGTTTAGTGCATTCGTTTATTCATTCTAGACTTGATTACTGCAACAGCCTATTTTACGGTTTGCCTGAAAAATCGTTATCTGTGCTTCAGTCAATTCAGAATCGGGCAGCTAAGATCGTGGTTGGTGCGAAAAAGTTTGACCATGTCATCCCGATATTCAGAGAACTGCACTGGTTGATGGTCAAAAAAAGAATTTTGTTCAAAATATCAACAATCATGTTCAAATGTATAAAGGGAATGGCACCAGTTTATTTGAAAGAAATGCATGCATCGAAACAACTGTCTTAAAAATGTC